AGGGACTGTGAGTCGGCGCTGAAGCAGGTGGATATGTACGCCCTGGGCCTGATCTACTGGGAGACCTTCATGAGATGTACCGACCTTTTCCCTGGTGAGACACAGAGACAGAAAGGCTGTGAATCTGTTTTGGGTTGTGTAAATAAGACGAGCTGCATCCCTCCAAATACACCACTGCTTGTAGTATTGTTTTAATTTTTACTACCATTTATTATCACAGACAACACAAGAATCCCTCCTACGCTGCATACAGCAGGAAGCCATTAAACACACATTTCATTTCGTAGTGGGAAGCAAGAAAGCGCATTCATAAATTTAATGAATATTTCTGCTACATGAAATATATCTCAGACACATCCTTCCTCTTCCTGTCCTACCTCTAGGAGAATCTGTGCCAGAGTACCAGATGGCCTTCCAAGCGGAGGCAGGGAACCACCCGACGTTTGAGGACATGCAGGTCCTGGTGTCCAGGGAGAAGCAACGGCCCAAATTCCCCGAGGCCTGGAAAGAGAACAGTTTGGTACGTTTGTGTGTGCGTGTCTGTAAGAGAGTGAGCAGAGCAGAGCAGAGAATTATAATTCTAATTACAATAACCAGAGATAAACACTGTCAGCACATTAGAAACATGTCACTACAACTTTAGTAAGTCATTTTCAATTATCTGAAAATCATCTTCTGTTTTTTAATTCTTTTTTGGGGCATTTTGCTCTTATTAAATAGTGATAGTACAGACGGTATCTTTAGGAGCATAAGAGGGGAATAATGTGCAATGAAGGCCACTGGCTAGAATCAAATTGTGGGCACTGAATATGTGGCATGTGTCTCAACCAGTTGGCCATTAGGATGCCAAAATAGACCATATTCGGATCCTTTTTTGGCCTTGAAAGGCATAGGAAATCAAGTTTATAAAAATCATTACACATTGATATTCTAGTAAGTTATCTATCTTTCTTATATGCAACTAAATTCCAACCACAATCCCAGTCAGTAAAGCTGGGAAATAGAAATGGTAATACGGCAGGAAATTCACACACATTCTTTTCTTTGTTTTCAGCTGATTATGAATGAAAACTGTTTCTGTTGAGCTTAAAGCCTTGGTTAAAACAATACTTAGATTCCTGTATGTGCATTGAAACTGTTTTTGGTTGCTGTAATCATTCCTCCGGTCCATACTGGCTGCAAAGACAAATTCCACAGATCTTGTTTTGAGTAAAAATGCCTTCCAGAGTTCAGCTGAAGCTCATACGGTGCTTCATCAGTCTGAGTCAAGTGGATATCCTCAAAAGTTACAGTCATTTTAGTGAAATACCATGTTTGGATTTCCTTGAGCCGTGTTTACTTGCTGAGCTGCAGCGAAGAGACGGCAACACAAAGAGGAAATTGGCCATAACTCAGAAGACTTAATTCGAGTAACACCTGCTGAAGTCTCGTTCTGGCTTTGGTTGAACTCTGGAAGTCACACAGAGTGAGGGCTGTGAGTTTTGTCCCTAGGAAGTGATCTCTTTGCAGCCAGTATGGAACAATTAACAATTGTCAACAGCAACCCAAAACTCTTTTCTTGTGAAATATTAAAACTGTGTCTCCTCCAGGCGGTTCGCTCTTTGAAAGAGACAATGGAGGACTGCTGGGACCAGGATGCAGAGGCCCGCCTCACGGCACAATGTGCAGAGGAACGACTGGCAGAGCTGCTCCTCATATGGGACCGCTCCAAGTCTGTCAGCCCTACACTCAACCCCATGTCCACCACCCTGCACAATGAGAGGTAAGCATACACACAGATAGGCTTCTACCATTGTGGCACTGGTTTTAAATGCTCGCCTTGACGATTTCTGCTCTCTCGCAATGTTTTCTGCCAGAAATCGCATGACACCGAAGTCTGGCCCGTACACAGACCACCCCTCCACCTACATCGAAGAGCACGAGGGTGTGCCCAAGAACACGCAGCAGGACACCACTAGCTCTGTAAGCGGTCGAGCCGTAGCTGGGACCGGAGAGAGAAACAGGAATTCAATCAACCAGGAGCGGCAGCAGCAAGCCAACGCCCGTCTGCCCAGCCCAGAGGGCAGCAGCACCAGCATGGGCCTGAGAGGCAGCCCCTCAGCCTCCACTACAACCACCACTATTATCTCTGAGTCTGAGGGACCTGTAGTGGTCGCCACAGTCCCCGTCTGCCTCCACCTGACCCAGGAAGACCTGGAAACCACCAAGCTTGACCCGAAAGAAGTGGACAAGAACCTGAAGGAGAGCTCGGACGAGAACCTGATGGAGCACTCACAGAAGCAGTTCTGCTCACCAGATCCACTGAGCCCCGGCAGCTCCAGCCTCCTTTACCCGCTCATCAAGATGGCCACTGAGGCATCGGGCACTTCAGACCCCCCTGGGCCCATGCCCACCACCATCTTCCCCCTGCCCAAGCAGCAGAACCTGCCCAAGAGGCCGTCCAGTCTGCCCCTGCGCACCAAACCCACCAAGAAGGAGTCGTCATCGTCTTCGCTCAGGTTCAAGTTCGGTCGCTCGGGGAAGTCCAACCTGCGGCAGGTGGAGGGAACAAAGATGAACATTGGTGCAGTAACGAGCACGAACACAGCCGTAGAGGCTCATCGGGGCACAGGCACGAACAACACACCTGTCCTACGAGACACGCATGTCAACGGCAGCGTTAACGGCGCCGTTAACGGTCACGCCAGCACTGCGATCTCGTCCATGGCTACGGGTGGAGCGACAGGATTCGGAGGATCCAGCATAACTCAGAACGGGTCGGGAGTGCTGAGGTCGGACGACGGCCGCCTTAGCCTCGGCGTCATCACAGCCAGCCCCGACGAACACGAGCCCCTTCTGAGCCGCGAGCGAGAGCAGCCCGACCCGAGAGACGCGTCCTCGAGCGTCGCCGCTCTCCGCTCGGCCCGACCCAACACCAACAACAACAACAGCAACACCGGCCACGGCCAGGGGGACGGGGAGAGCGGAGGAGAGAGCGATGGAGGAGAGGAGGAGGGGAGCGGGGAAGGAGGAAGCAGGGAAACCACGGGGCCCCCGGGAGAAAGCTCGGGGTCGGGATCCGGCGCCGCCGACCACCACGGGCAAGCTCCGGTCACCATGAGAGGGGAGGCCCTGCTCAGGCAGCCCAGAGCCCGCAGGCCTGAGAGACCCAACTCCCTGGACCTGTCCTTCACAACACAGGACTTGGCCTCACTAGGTGATTTAATGCACCAACACCTCACAAAGGAGTTTTCAGAACATCAAGGACTGGAACGAATAAGATTTTATTGATACTAATGTCATTATCTTATCCTTTATTGATTCCTGATTAGTTTTCTGCATGGAAGGAACAAAAGTAGACCCACCAGGTTGCCTGAGAGTAGCTGTCAGTCTGTCGCCATCTAAAATGGATGAAATTAGAGAATATTTGTACAGCAACTGTTTTCATTTAATATTTTAATATAATTCTAATAATAATAACTTGTGTTTATGTAGCACCTTTCAAAATTATAAGAGAAAATAGTTACAATGTGCTTTATAGTAAAAACATATAATAAAATCCACAACTTAACATATAAAGATCAAATAATTTAATAGTAACAGCAAATACCATCGGTTAAGAAAAAGCCAAATAATAAAACTAGAGTATTTAGAAGAGATATTAAAAATAACAGCTCACTAATTTATAGTTTTGTTTTTAGAAAGGCTCAGTCATTTCCTAAAACAGCTGGTCACTGTAGTTTTATCAAAGAGGAGAAACTTGTTTGGCATTTTCATTTGATCAATCACTTAAAACGATTCAGTCCATTATTTAAACAAATCCAACTGACTAATCATTCAAGCACTCTCTTCCTGAACCACATTTTTTTATAGATAAACTTTAAACAAACTATGTTGCCTTAAATGGACAGTACGCCACTTTTACTCGCCCGATGATGTCATAGTGACGTCACCAGCGTTATCTGGAGACTACAAACTTGTAACAGAAAGTCTGAGTCACAAACTTGAAGAAACAAATTGAATTAGAAACAAATGGGTATTTTTCAGGCAGGAATAAGCAAATAAGATTACATTGGTTGCATTATGGGAAATGTAGGATCCAGTGTTTTTTGAGCATGACTAAGGGAGTAAAAGTCTCTCGTGAGTCCTCTCACTGTATGTAAGTGTAACAGAGTTAAAGGCCACCCACAGAAGGCTTCATGTGCACTGATCAGTGTTTGTTCCTGTCTTCCAGGGGAGGGCTTGGTACAGCCAGATGGAGCCTTGGGGGGGACAGGAGAGAAGATCAAGAAGCGCGTCAAAACCCCCTACTCCCTGAAGAAGTGGCGACCCACCACATGGGTCATCTCCACAGACACCCGGGGGCCGGAGGTCAACAACAACGGGTCCTCCCGCGGTCAAGGTCACAGTCAGAACCGGCCCAAGTCCAGTTCGGCTATCTACCTGCGGGGGGGGAGCTTGGCCAGCGAGCCCAGCGACACGCATGTGTGAACTCAGACCCTCTGACAAGACTGAAGAAAAAAAATTTAAAAAATAACCAGAGAGCGTTTGGTTCTCTGTCTGTTGAGCTCTCTGCTCTGAATCAGCAAGAGGAAGCTATGATGGAGTGTCTTGTGAACAAACAGTCGAGTCTGATCGTGTACAGTAATTAGGTCTGTCTCGCTCCTGTGTGTCTTTCTGATGATGGCATTGCTTTAAATGGAATCCAGCTATGCAGCATTCTCACCCGCTTGTTTCCGTATCTTATTAATCTCCCCTTTTTGTCGGTTTTTGTTTCATCCTTTACAAACGCGTAGCAATCGATTTCTTTCTTTTTTCTTTTTTTTTCTATATGTGCACTTTGAACCAATTAAAATCAGTGTTTAGAAGTCCTGTCTGTTGCGACCACGACAAGAAAGTGGTCTCTAAACTTAAAAAGGCGATGAAAAACAATCAACACTTTGAGCGTTCTTTTCTCGTACTTTGCTGTATCAAGCAACGTCCTGGAGTGGGCTCTGTAAAAGATTTGACGGTCTTAAAAGACGGAACAAACTACTTTAACTTTTATCTTTTTATTTCCTTGATTTGTATGCAATACCAATTCTTGTCCTTTTTAAACATGTATCCTTTTTTTTGTATCATAATTTTTAATTGTGCAATAGGATGTAGCTTTTAGATGCTTTCGATGTTTTTATCGCTTCCATTACTTTGGTCATTATTTTGATATGTTAATCTCTGTTGCACTTATGAATAGTCACAATCGTTTTTTGTAAACAATCTACCATACGCTACCACCCCCCCTGACTCAAGAGGAGAAAATGGATGACAATCCTCTTTCCTTCTTCTCTGGACTATTTTTAGGGGGCACAAAAAACACTAAACAATCACTCGCAGCTGACTGGAAAAGTGGGTTTTCATGGAACTCCTCTGCTTGCACAATTACACCAGGAATGGCTCAAACTTTGGGGTCTTTTAACACTACAATCACCAGAATCAAATCTACGGAGGGATCTGTTACAGTGGCCCGACGCAATCACTGTACCACTATCACCTGACCTCACTGTGGACTGTGTGTTTTAGCTGTCTGTATATGACTGAAAGACTTGAAACACTAGAAAGATCGAACTCTGTTGGAAATCCGAAACTAGTCTAAAAAAAAAAAAACCCCACAAAAAAACCAAACCCCTCTGAAGCACGCTGGATATTATTTCTGCTTCTTGTTGTCTCATCCCTTGATGTTCAAATGACTGATTCAGTGTGTGTGAGAGAGAGAGAGTGTGTGTGTGTGTGTGAGAGAGAGTGTGTGCACATGTTGTGTTTCTATATGTCAGCAAGCATTAGAATTATTGGGGCCTAGCGCTGTACAGGCGTGCTGAAATGTCATTGTACTCATTCTGTATTTTCAGCGCTGCTTCAGGGCATATGAAAAGATCTCATTTATGTTTTTGTAATCTGTAATTTGTATGAAAAAAACATATGTATGTGTATTGCATTAATATTTGCATCATTTTTATGGAATTCTGTTTTTGCATTCAATGGACATGGCCTTTGATTCCATTGCTATGCGTCTGCTCGGTACAGTTTCTGTAAACATTTTCAAGTCAATATGAAAGAAAAAGTTCTCAATAAATGTATGAAATAATTGTTGCTTATATCTGTAAAAGGACATCTCTTATTTCAGCATGTCCGCTCTTATTCTGAAAGTATTGCAGTGGAGGAGATATCTGTAGTCAGAGTTAAAGAGAGTTTAGAGTTTAAAAAATATGAAGCTACAGCAGCCGGTCAGCCCAGCATAAAGACTGGAAACGTCTTTCTTTGGACTAGTTTGCTAAATGTGCAAAAATCTAACTGTAAAAACAACAATTTGTGATTTTTGAAGCCTTTTGGGACCCATAGAGTCAAGTGTTTTTCCAAAAATGTGGAACTATTCCTTTAAAAACTCACTAATAATCGTGCTTTTCCTATTTCTATTAGTACTAAGTTTTCATTAGGTCTTTAAAAGTAGGAGCTCAGATCGTTTTATTATGAAGGAAGGGCAAAGGAGCCATATTGCATACATCAGACAGGGGCAGCGGCAGAGGAGCACATCTGTATGATGAACCGGTCCTCCCCTCTACGGGGATTTTAAATGTCCGTAAACACATCAAATACAGAGTTGTGCAACCCCGTCACATAAAACAAGCTCTCCCAGCTCTCCAAGAGACACCGTAAGTTTCTAATGTCGACACACGAGGGAGACCTTTCCTCTGCTCCCCTTGTTTACCCCTCTTCCTCCCCTCTTCCTCTCCTCTTCCTCCTCTTCCTCCCCTCCGCCGTCTGCTCCACGCACCCTAGCAACTGCAGCATCAGCACGAGCATCGCGGCGTTGGTACGCTACGTCACAGCGTCGATAGGCGAGAGGAAAACCGGAAACCGACAGACCTCCATTCAAAATAAAAGTCACGTTTGGAGCGTTTTAGTGTGAAACTTGGTGTTTTTTTTTTGGAAGTTAGATTTTTATGGCAACGAGTGTATGCTCTGAAAAATATGTTGTTGTTTGTGTTTATCAAACATACTTTTAAGATAAGATAAGATATTCCTTTATTTATTTATCCCCCTTTAGGAGAAATTCAGGTTGACACAGCAGCAATAGGGCAAAGTAGTGCAAAAACAGA